AATGCAGAAATATGGGTGGGTGCCGCTAATCTTTCGGTGCCACAGTTTGCACGCAACATTCTCATATACACGTCACAGAAGAGACCCTTTGTCTTTTGTGGGTGGCCCTGAAAAGGACCTTTGTGTTGCTGCAGTGACCAGAGTTTACTTTGAGCTGGTGTACTTGGTCACGGCCTTGGTGCCCTCAGACACGGCGTGCTTGGCCAGCTCTCCGGGCAACAGCAGACGCACCGCGGTCTGGATCTCCCTGGAAGTGATGGTGGAGCGTTTGTTATAGTGCGCCAGGCGGGAGGCCTCTCCGCCGATGCGCTCGAAGATGTCGTTGACGAAGGAGTTCATGATGCTCATGGCCTTGGAGGAGATTCCGGTATCGGGGTGCACCTGCTTCAGCACTTTGTACACGTAGATGGCGTAGCTCTCCTTCCTGCTCTTTCTCCTCTTCTTGCCGCCCTTGCCTGCGGTCTTGGTGACGGCTTTCTTGGAGCCCTTCTTGGGCGCGGACTTGGCTGGCTCAGGCATGTTTCTCTGCGGTTACAGGCGAACGAGTGAGAGACAGGCGTTCTGTCCGCTTTCTTTATACTCGCCTCATGCAGAAGAACTGCGCTGTTCCTCTCACCTGATTGGTCAGACCTCCGCCTTGGTGCTTTCTCTCCCCCTCATTCTTTAGAGAGGATTATAGGGATATCTAGAGATATGGAATACAATAAGTTACGTTATACAACTAAAATGGTCTCGTGCTCCCCTCACTATTGTACAGAATGAAATGGAAACAAACGCATTACACTGGCCTATAAGGGCCAACAGTGAGGGCAAAGTTATAAAATAAATCGCTTTGTATTAACAGGGGACAGAAGCACGACGTGCTTTTAAGAGATCCTCTATTCGTCCCAGAGTTGTATACAGTGGGAATAAGGAGCATAAGGCAAGTTAATACTCTAAAAAGTAATCAAATATCTTTAGCATAAGGAAAGGAGTCCATAATTTCAAACAGTCGCATGAAGAATGTTGGAAGAGCGTTTTTATTACAAAAGTCAGTTTACGTGGTTGGAAATCATAGTCAATATTTTTCACAAAAGCCGCATAACCACTGTCTGTTGAGTCATTTAATAACCTTACTTTCCTTTTTGTTACACAGGAGTGGATTCTCTTTGTGGGAGTGGGTGGCTCTTAAAAGAGCCGTTGTGTTCGTGAGAGCCTGTGTTTAACCTCCGAAGCCGTACAGGGTGCGGCCCTGTCTCTTCAGCGCGTACACCACGTCCATGGCGGTCACGGTCTTCCTCTTGGCGTGCTCGGTGTAGGTGACGGCGTCACGGATCACGTTCTCGAGGAACACCTTGAGCACTCCGCGGGTTTCCTCGTAGATCAGACCGGAGATACGTTTGACACCGCCGCGGCGAGCCAGACGGCGGATAGCGGGCTTGGTTATGCCCTGGATGTTGTCACGGAGGACTTTGCGGTGACGCTTGGCGCCTCCTTTCCCAAGTCCCTTTCCTCCCTTGCCTCGTCCGCTCATTTTGACTGTTCTGTGGTAAAACACTCAGATGAGGAGAGAGAGCTGCGCTGCTGACTTTATAAGGCCTCTGCGGACGTGACTGAAGACCGCTGAGGGACTGACCGTTATTTCTGAGAGGCTGGTGCGGGGGGAGGGAGGTCACAGTAATGATGTCTCTACACGAACAGGACGTAAGGAACTATAATTGTTGTCATTAAAAATAAAGACTTTGGCCCAGCTCTGATTTCTACAAGACAGGACCAGTGTAATTTGTAGTCAAACTGTGAAAGTACAAGCCGATATTATCACTTTTATTTTTGTATACAATGTAGATGTTTCCCAACAGATCGTTTTTTCATAGAGGAGATGGTTTCTTCAGTAGTTCAGGAACATTTCACACTCCCAATGTTTATGTTCACTCATCATTTAACCAACCTTTATGTGTAGGTTTAGCCCTGACTAAGGGCACCAGCAGACCAGTCCCTGTGCTCTTCAGAGTCATAGGGACTCTTGTATGTTAGTGTGTATATGGATACACACTAACATACAACATTTATTAGGAAAATGTTACATGAACTAATTTCTTTCAATTAATGCAAGTGTACATAGCAGATGACTTATTTATATTCAACAATTATTAATAATAAATTATATGCACTATATGCCATGCCTATACACAAAATAAAATATTGTATGTTGTATTATTTCACCCCTGTGTACCTTCCACCCAGCAGACAATCTAAACTAATTTTATTATGTTATGTTGGAAATGGTCTTGTCTTGATTTTATGAAGTTGTTGCCATCAATCAACATTAATAATTGGGTTTTGATATATTCCACTGGATCGAACGGTGTACAGATTTCCGCCTCCAGTTTTACCCTTTCCAGTCTACTTGGCCCATCTCACAATCGTTGACATGTTCTCTATCTGCATTGGAGAGCGCTATTGTGTTTAAAACAATGTTGAGTGATTCGCATATAATCATCTCCTTTAACATTTGGTACCTTTAGGTCACAATCTAATCACGTTTCATGTGAAGGTCACAGAATGGAGCTTAATACTGTCAAGGGGCGTATGTCATAGAAAGAAACTAAACAAATGTACTTGACCAGCGGATACACAGGTTTAGGAAAAGTTATATTCACAACAGAAGATTATTCTCTTTGAGAGAGTGGGTGGCTCTTAAAAGAGCCGTTGTGTTTTAGTCGTTCAGAGCCTTTACTTGGCCTTCTCGGTCTTCTTGGGCAGCAGCACTGCCTGGATGTTAGGCAGCACTCCTCCCTGGGCGATGGTCACACCTCCCAGCAGTTTGTTGAGCTCCTCGTCGTTGCGGACGGCCAGCTGCAGGTGGCGGGGGATGATACGGGTCTTCTTGTTGTCTCTGGCGGCGTTACCGGCCAACTCCAGAATCTCAGCGGTCAGATACTCGAGCACCGCCGCCAGATACACGGGGGCTCCGGCTCCGACGCGCTGGGCATAGTTACCCTTCCTCAGCAGCCTGTGCACACGGCCCACAGGGAACTGCAGCCCGGCCCTGGAGGAGCGAGTCTTGGCCTTTGCCCTGGCTTTACCTGCGCCCTTGCCTCGTCCAGACATCGTGATATATTCTATGAGTCTCAAAAGATTCAACTGTGTTCGGTCGCGGATGCATCTGATATTTGAAGACCCTGCTTCACGCTGATTGGTCCAGATTTGAAGACAATCCACCAATCAGAACACACCCCCAGGAGCCATCCGAGCGCGCTCTTTTCACCACATTGGTTCTTTCGGTGATTAATTAAAAGCTGAAAACAATAAAAGATAAACGTTTAAGAGTCTGATGTGACGTATGTAGATGTTTAAAACACAAAAGATAAATAAATGTAAACCTGAAATCCTTGATGTCACAAATAATGATATGCAAATTGAATAGAGGTGTGAGACACGAGCCGGAGAGGGTGAGAAATGTAACAATACTGTAGATAACCACATAAGCCTTTTAGAATATAAGAAACTTCACATCATTAAGAGAAGGGCACACATGACAGGTTTAGAAAAGCAATAAATCTTGCCATTACATGATGTTTCATACAACCAGAGTGCCACAAAAAAAATATATATATATAATTAAGAATGAAGAAACGTTGACAGGTATGATTAAAAGTCAAGTTAGATAAGAATTCCAGGGAGGCTCATGCCTCCCTGGAAGAGCTATAGTGAGTGTTCATAATGCATTTTGTACCTTTGGGTTGTGAATATTATGTCACAACACATTACAAACATTGAAGTCAATCTCTCAAGAGCATGTGGTGGCTCTTAAAAGAGCCGTTGTGTGGAGAATGAAGTCGCTGCTTTAAGCCCTCTCTCCGCGGATGCGGCGGGCCAGCTGGATGTCCTTGGGCATGATGGTCACCCTCTTGGCGTGGATGGCGCACAGGTTGGTATCCTCGAACAGACCTACCAGATAGGCCTCGCTAGCCTCCTGCAGGGCCATGACAGCGGAGCTCTGGAAGCGCAGGTCTGTCTTGAAGTCCTGGGCGATCTCCCTGACCAGGCGCTGGAAGGGCAGCTTGCGGATCAGCAGCTCGGTGGACTTCTGGTAGCGGCGAATCTCCCTCAGAGCCACGGTGCCAGGCCTGTAACGGTGAGGTTTCTTCACTCCGCCGGTGGCCGGGGCGCTCTTGCGGGCGGCCTTGGTGGCGAGCTGCTTCCTCGGAGCCTTTCCTCCGGTGGATTTACGCGCGGTCTGCTTTGTTCTGGCCATTTTCTTTACTCTGTTTCAGACTGAAAAAGCTGAAAGACTAGTGCTTGGATGCTGAGGCTGAGGCTTTTTATACAAGTCGGGGTGAATCTGATTGGCTCTAAGACGTTAGCCCCGCCCCTGCTTTCATTCATGAGGCGGAGGCACTTCTGACTGTGATGCGTTTGAAGGAGAAACATAATAGATCCAAGCATGAAACACGTTGAACATAAACAACATCATTAATAAAGAAACATGTAACTGTAATATATAGATATGTACAGAGCACTTGACTGTCACGTGTGTATTTACTGTGACGCAGTCATTTACATCTAGTCACAGGTAAAACACTCAAAGCATCATCTTTAATTGTGTTTTTTCCCCCCGCTCGGGTTATAATACAGTTTATGAATAAGGTGAATGCGGCAAAGAATTTGAAACAAAAATCTGACGTCACTCCAGTCAGAATGACTGTTGTAGAAAACACGTGTATGTGAAATCTATATGGAATTTTAATCCAAATCTGAATATGGACTTTCTAAAAAGTCTAACTCCTTTCGTATACTGTAACATTGCTCTTCTTTTGTAGCAGAATATCAAATAATAATAAATATAACAATAAAGACATTAGTCCTGCTAGTTATTGTGCAGTTTCACCGCCTGCAGGTGTGTCCCGTGTGAGAACAGTGTGATGTGATTGATACAGTGGCTTCTACAGAAGCGTCTCTTTAGTGGAGGAGGTGGCTCTGAAAAGAGCCTTTGGGTCTAAAGTGGAGCGGGCGGGGCTTTACTTCTTGGCCTTCTTGGGAGCTGCCTTCTTTGCGGCTGCCTTCTTGGGGCTCTTCTTCACGGCCTTGGGCTTCTTGGGAGCCGCTTTCTTGGGGCTCTTGGCGGGTTTCTTGGCCACTTTCTTAGGGCTCTTGGCGGGCTTCTTGGCTGCTTTCTTGGCCGGGGACTTGGGCTTCTTGGCTGCGGGCTTCTTCACCGCCTTCTTCTTGGGGGTGGTGGCTTTCTTTGCCGCGGGCTTCTTGGCTTTGGCCGGTGCCTTCTTCTTGACGGTCTTGGGCTTGGCCTCCTTCGTGGCCAGTTTGAAGGAGCCGGAGGCCCCGGTGCCTTTGGTCTGGCTCACGGCGCCTGAAACCACCATCTTCTTCAGGGCGTTGTTGATGCGCTTGTTGGCCTTGACCACATCGACACCCTTCGCCGCCAGCGCCTTCTTCACGGCGGCCATGGAAACGCCTTTGCGTTCCTTGGACTCCGCGATCGCAGCGGTGATGAGCTTCGGGAGGCTGGGGCCATCGCTCTTCTTGGCAGCGGCCTTCTTCTTGGGGGCCTTGGCTTTGGCCGGAGCGGGGGCTGGAGCTGTCTCTGCCATAGTTCGTGTTTGGGTCTCAGATCTGAGTCGAGTGAGGCCGAGGCGCGCGAGGCGGAGGTATATCAGGGACATGAGAACCGTAGAGATTCAACCCGCTCTGCTCAGCGCCGCTGGCTCCGCTCTGTGTTTTCTCTTCCCACTTTAAAGTTAAATATTACACTCATTAAGCACATTTCACAATCATATTACACATCCTCCGGTGCGGAAGAAGCTCTTATTTACGGGGAAATCGTCTTCGTCTCAGTTAAAACATGTGTAACAGAGTTTAACCCTCAAACCCACGTTCATCACTGTGCAGATTCAAGGGTGAGAACCTTTTCCTACACTTGGCTTTAAAAAAGTATACATTGTTATTTCATGACCAATATTGTGCCTTTCCCCAAAGAGAGGACACATCACCCTTGTATTTGAGTCTTTGAACTTTCGCCTTGAGTACAGCATTTAGTTGTATCTAACAAAGATGTTGGCGGTAGTAACACACCCGCAGCGGCTCTGAGAGACGCACGTCTGACCACGGAACACTATTATCAATAGGCGTCTTTTTTTTCAGAGAAATGGTTCGAATAATGATTTACGAATGATGAATTACAATTTAATAAATGTATTATAGTCTCTAATTGTAAGGTGGTTGTATTAAATTGACAGCCAATTTGTCCCAGGGTTTGAACGACAGGATCTATAACTTCCAATTTTACAATCCTCACTGAAGTTAACTTTAAAGTGGTTTGACATGTTGTAAATTATAATTATACATACATACATACATAGTTACCTTAGATTTATTTACCACAATGTGTGCTAACACCGATTAACGGTTTAATTAGCACTTTTATCAATGATTGCATCACATGCAGTCTATGTTTTCAACTTCTGCAGCTTTTTGTCCATAAAAGTAAAATATGTATTTAATTCAAGTTATTTTGATTAGCATTTTTGAATATTACAATGTACATTGTGGTAAATAAATCTAAGGCAACCACAGTGAGACTGGCAAAATGTAAAAAGGAATATTAGCCTTGTAAGCATGTTTTATGATATCGAGTAGAGTTAGCTAACTTGCCCAACACTAATTAGCTTGAATCTCACAAATAAGGCTAAAAGGTTAAAAGAGTTGCACACTATTATGTACAAAACGGATGAAAATATGTGTATACCTTGTTCAGATGACAGTGAAACCTCCTACAGTTTCCAGCCCAGACTGCTGCTGCTGTGAGAGGTCATTCTCCTACGTCATCGCCGCCATTTTGGCTCACCCTCGCGTTTTTTTAAAGGTGCCACTTCAAAGCCGTTTTTTAAACATAATTCATCTGAACATGTCAAAATGAACACCCGAAATATTAAACACATATTGTAGTTATATATTCTGGATAGCCGCATATAAATTCTAGTACTACTTTAAGTCTTCTAAATGTATGTAGAACTATTGTATGTCTTTCGATGTGGCTGGTTAATTTAGGGCATGAATAGTAGTTTGATATTAGCTACTTCTGTTTCCGTTCCCGACTTCCGTATGTGAATCTTGCTGAAGTGTAGATGGACGAGATGCAAACGCCCTAGCCTCAATAAGCCCAATAGGGAAGTGGGTCATAAGGACAAAGTTTTGGTCCAACTTGCACTGTTCCTATTGACTTATTTTAGAAATAAAACTGCTCCAGCTTTTTAATCTTTTTATTTGGTACGGCGCCTCTGTGACCCGGTGTTTTAGATTGTCTTTGTACACCAGAGTATAAGCCATAAAATGGTTGATCAATCAGACGTCTTCATTCACAGGTGAATCTCCAACTTGCCTACAACCGGCTAAGCAACACATTTACCAACCATTGTTGGCCATGAGAGTGAGTTGACAAACCCTAATCTGTAATGGCGAGTCGACATTTCTCCGAACACCTGTTATTATTCTGGGCTTTTACAAAAAGACATTTACTGTCTCTCAGCTGGATTGGCTTGAAAACTGAGAAAAAAATGTATGGCGCAACACGTCACTGCCAACGACTGAAAGGACAAGATCATGGACACTAATGGACCAAAGGATTTCCTCCCAGAGTGGTTGAAGAACTGAAGGCGGGCACCAACATAATTTTCTAGTGAAATATGACAAATGTCACTTTTCTTAACTGGGTTTTTGATGGATACTTGCAGATGCAGGAGTCCAATGCAAGTGATAGGTCCGGACATGTATGGACTAATGACAATGACAACCCGCTCCATAAGAACCAATGGCTCCTATGTGTTTTTGTTTTATCGTTGCATATTCTGAGGTCGAACACGGTTAATTCTCGAGCTCTTGTCCCGGCGAATCATCAACTTTGTAAAGTCCTACCGAGATTACTCTGAGTTGTGATTTTGATACTGTCAGAAAAATACACGGAACAGAATCTGAATCGAAGTTATCACAACATCACACCAGCTCTCCCATTACTCAAACACTTCACGGTCCATGCAACCGACTCCTAACGATAGCGACATTTATAACCTGCGTTAATTGAGTACGTGTAAATTTTCTATTCTGACAGAGTTCATTAACGTGACCCACTTCTGCACGCACATTTCTCCGTTTGTACTTGCCTTCCCCGTCCATAATCCCGCACCAATCTCTTTACGCGGCCCCGTTGAAGATAACTGCTCATTTCGCCCGTACAAGGCTTTCCCGAACCACTGACAATACGTGACCTCATGTCTTACAAGAGCCTACATGGCATCCGAGCCGACAGCCCGAGTCTCAAGTCGCGAAGCGTGTTTTTTGCTTGGCAGAGGTTTCACATCGCTTTGACAGCCGACATACACAGACCCTTGAATTCTTAATTAGTTTGGGAGCTGTGGCGTTTTACTTGAGGACCCTGACGTCGAACAATTCGGCCCACGGGGGAAAAGCAAGTATTGATTGATTAAACTCAAGCGTAGTTTCACCTGGAGTCCAGGGCTGGAACAAACAGAGATGGATTATTGCCTCCAACACTCGTGGTTGGAGGAGTTACAATCAGGGCCCTGTGGCCAGGAAAAAAAATATTATGCATTTGTTTGTGCTCATTTTGGCAATTAGACAGAGGCCCAATCACAGAGCTGAAACTTTTTAGAATTTTGGAAAAATATATGGACATTGAAGTACATTAATTCATATTTCTGGAGAGTGGCCATCCGGCTCCCCATGACCAATGGCTCCTATGTCTTTGTTTCTTATTGCATTTCGTTTGATTTTTTGATCTGTTGTGGTAAGCCGATCAACTTTTTAAAGTTTCCCCCCCCCCCTCCCAAGACGACGCTGTTGTGATTTTACAAATATGTGAATAAAATATTAAAAAAGGTAATGAAAAAACATGGTTGGTTGGAAGTGCATGTTAAAGAACACACCTCTGGTTGGACTTGGGCTAAAGTGATTCCTTTTTCCAACAATCCCCGAAAACAAAAGAAACACAGGTTATGTCACACAATGACCTGCGTTTAAAACCCTAATACGGGTTGCCGCGCTAGCTGTCAGAATGCCTTAGGGCAGCTGTGCTTAAATGTAGTTTATCACTCACCGTGTATGGAGTGAAAGAAGTGACAGCGTGAACGTTTTTTAGTGCCCCAAAAAAAAAAAATTCCTATAATTTATTTGGCTGGTGTTTTGAATAGGAATGTGACAATAGATCGATATGGTGAGTATCGAGATACTTCTCACACAAGCTATTATACTTTTAATTCACTGCAGAATTTACTAAAATGTGGTTAAAAAAAGGCATTTTTTAAATATAAGAGAAAATATTATTGAAGGTATATTTTGACCACTATATCATAACCGCTGCAACGTCCATTTCGATAGATACTCGTTGTCCTGAGCTACATCGGAAAGTATCGTGGGGTACCAGGAGATGAATGTTGAGTTTATCACTAAAAGTTACATTTGCTTAACAAAACATTAGTGGTCCACATTATTATGATTTTAAACATAAAATGGCAAATTTTATTTCAAAACTTAGATCTTTGCTCAGTCGAAGTTGACGTGAGTCCAGTAATTGCTCTGTAATCCTCACCATATACACTGTTCATGAATATGACATATAATAATGTTTAGAAGGCCATTGGTCACAGAAGTGCACTTTGTGGAATCTGTTTAAAAGTTGACAAATTGCAAATCAATCAGTCCATCCACATTCAACAGAGCAGCGCAGCTCCACAGAACCGTAAATCTGCTTCTTTCTTTTAAAAGCCAACTCTGAGTGACGTTTTATTCATTAGTGTAAAGTTCTCTGCTACAGTCTTGCTGATAATGATCCATACAGCCGCTAATTTGTTTCATGTGACATCACAATAGTCCAAAGAGCCGATAGGTTCTCGTCCTACTAGTCCTGTGTAATGTGTACATGTAATAATTAATTTATTGTATTGTTTAATTGTTTTGTACATTGTTTTGTATATTCTGCCTATAAAGGGAACAACATGACTTTAGCTTTTATGATATGACACATTATACACTATTTTTCTACAAGTGTTTAGATAAAGTGGGTTTATTTGGAAAGTCCACTGTCCCTGGCCAATAAATACATGCTAAGAATAAAGTATAATGCCTAATTTTGTGAACTGTTTTATTTGTAAGGTTTTTCTTGTGCTTATGTCACTTACCTAGAGATATAAATTAGCCTATCTTTAAATCTGCATATTTATATTGTTTCTACACAAAGCTATGGCTAAGGCTATGGATGATGCTATGGCTGATGCTGCCCAATTCCTGTTGAGAACTTTTTAGCTGTGTTGCTAGTCGATCTGCAACCTGCTTAGAATGGAAAAAGTTGTTCTTCTTTTGTTTTTTGTAACGTTCTCAAGCCAGTGGATTTGCAGTATCTGCAAAAAATGGCAAAATCATGACACAATGTGTTATTTCTAACCAGAATTTAGAAGTTCAATAAGACACTTTGTGACGGCCATTTTCATAATCTCGCCTTGGCTTCCTCCTACAGTTCAACTTGAAACCCGTAGAATTATAATTAAACAAAGCCTTGGTCCAAAATGGGCCTGTGGTGAAG